CTCCCTCCCTCCCTCCCTCCCTCCCTCTCGGGCGTTATCGCTCGGGGCGTGGCGGTAGGGAGTGGCTGTGGCGCGGTGCCCGCGCCCGTTTTAAAGAAGTGGTAGTGGCCTTTTCATGTAGCGCCATATGGACATTTTTTCGCCTCGCCTAGCTGCATCTATATAGGTGGCGATGTTGTTGTTGTTGTTTGTCCTGGAAGGCGTCTTGCCTGGTTGGCCAGTCGGGCGTTGCGCGCGTCCTTTAGGTGTGCAAAGGTTGTTCCGCGTCGGGGAGGGTATGACCACTGTGCAAAATCTTTGGTAAAATTTCCGACGTGAACTGATATTAAAAGTTATCAACCGGCAACCAAGACCCAAAATGTTTCAACACCTTTTGTCGGATACTTTTCCGACTGGTGAAACAAGTGTGCAAAATTTTTTGCACCCCATCCCACCATTACGTATTTGTCTAACTGATGTTGTGCTCTTGCGTGATGTGCAAATTTTAAGACCTTTACACGTCTCATTTTTTCACACTTTGACACACACAGTTCTATGCTATCAGTGAGAACCAGATGGTGCGCAGCAGCTGAGATACGTCTTGCAAAGTTTGCACACCAATTGACGTAGAATCTAGTTGGACACCCCAATGTATGTCTAAAGTTTGCACACATGAACTTACTCATTAATTGACGTCTATAAGAAATAAACATTTGTCGTAGCGTGTTTGACTTGAAATGTGTATGTGTTGAACCCTAAAGTTACCCATTATTTTTAAGTGTATACATAAAATTTCTTGTCCAACACCTGGTATGCGCGACTATGCGTACATTATATTCAGGAGATGGCTAGTTGAACACTTTATCACTGTTTCATCATTTTCGATTTACAAGTAGTGGTGTTGTAAATTTACAATAGCATCCGTAGGTTGATGGCATGGCCCCCTTGGCTCGTCAATGAATTCAAAGTCGGTACACAAAGTGCTTGTAATTTTACAATTTTAAGTTATAATTTTACAACACCTGTTATGGAAAATTTTGCTGCAATAAAGCTTTACAAGAATTGCTCACAATAGTAAAGGTGTACAGTGTACATACTAACTGGAAGGTGGTGGGCTGGACGGGGGGTCGCCGTCAGGTCGCTGCCGTCCACCCAGGCCGGCGAAGGGGTGGGGAGGGACAAGGGTTGGCACGGGCATTGTGAGGTCGCCAAATTACGCAGAACCTTGCCCGGGCCTCGGCCGCGCGTGTGAAAAAAGTGTGGCCCTCCTTAAGTAAATGATTGAGATAAAATGCTAAAATTGGAACGAGATTAGTTCGGAGCGACTGGCCCGGGGGCCAGCCTGGCCACTTGGTTCGGGGTGGGACACTGCTTATTTTCGCGTTTAGGACAAGGTGTCCGCGCGAGGTGGGGCGGGGCGTGGTGGGGCGTGGCGGCTAGGTGGGGCGTCCCCGCGGCACTCATGGACCGCGGCGGCTCGGCGGCGGGCTGGTCGAGGTCCTGGACACACACACTCAGTTTGCCGCAGACAGCCGGGCGAGGCGGACGCGACGGGACGGAACGCACAAGAGCGCGCGCGCGCTCGCTGGTTGCGACCTCTGGCGGGCGACCGCCGCAATACCGCGCCTCCGTGTGGGCAGTTCGTGTCCGTGTGTGCGTGTGTGTGTGTGTGCGTGTGTGTCAGGGCTGCCAGGTGTTCCGAGGTGTCACCGTGCAGCGCGTGCGCACTGTTGTGCGTGTGTGTGTGCGCGCGCGCTCCCGCGAGGCGCTCTACAGTGCAGTGCAAGTGCAGCAGTCGCCGAGCTCGCCGTCGTCGTCGGGAGGCGCCCCATGGCCTCGGGGCGCGGCGCGCAGCCCTCTCTGTCCCCCCGGTGCCCGCACCATGCGCCATGTGCCTAGTGATGGTGGTGGAGTGCTCGGGCGAGCCTGACGCGGGCGCCCCGGTCCGCTTCCGCAGGCGCTGCCTCGCCTGCCAGGCGCTCCTCGACCAGGGCCAGGACGCGGGCGCCACCGCCCAGCCGCCCTGGCGTCGCAATGCGCCGCGCTTCCCTTACTCGCCGCCGGCGCGCCGCCTGCCCAGGTCCTACAACCAGGTACGCGACGAGGAGTTCGGGCACTTGTTGCCGACCGAGCGAGCTGGCCGGTGGCGCAACAGCAGCAGTCGGCTGCAGCTGCTACCGAGCACGGCCGCCACGAGCATGACGTGGAAGGAGGAGAGGGGGCACGCCACCGGGCCTCTGCCCTCTGGAGGACGCCGACGGACGAGGACGCCGACAGGGACGGGAAGGTCGTGGGGGAGGGGGGGGGGAGAGGCCGGTGCGGCGGGGAGGCGCGCCCACGCCCGCGCCGCGTTGTATCGCAAGGATAGCGACAGGACGGGCCGCGCGACCACTCCACGGCCGGGGCAGTCGTCATCAAGTTCCGTTCATCGGTTTCGGCGAACAGTGTGTGCGTGTCCGTGTTTGTGCGTTTGTGTGTGTCTGTGTGTGTGTGTGTGTCTGTGTGTCATCGTCGTCTGGCCTGGCCTGCACGGCGCCGTGCACCTTGAGATTTGAATTGGCTTCCCCCCGCCGCTCTGTCGCCGCCGCTGCTGCCTGCCGCCGTGTGGGCGGCAGGCGGGAGGGCAGCAGGCTCCTCGGCTATGGCCGATAATGCAGGCGGGAGGTCACGGGTTCGCCTCTCCTCCTGCCTCTCTCCCCGGCTCTCCCGGCTCTCCCGGCTCTCCCGGCTGTCCTGGGCTCTCCCGGCTCTCCCGGCTCTCCCGGCTTTCCTGGGCTTTTCCGGCTCTCTTGGCTCTCCCGGCTCTCCGGGCTCTCCCGGCTGGAGGCGGCGCGCAGAGCGGCGGAGGTTATGCCGCCTCCAGCCGCATAGCTTTCGCTGCCCGACCCGCGCGCGATCTCCAATCAAACGCGTGCAGCGGCAGCGCGATGGTCCAGAGCAGGCGGAGGAGGAGGAGGAGGCTGGAGAGCTCTGCTCATTAACAGTCTGGAAAGGAAGAGAGATGGAGAGACTCGGGAGAGATGAGAATATAAAATTGCTATTCGCGCTGACCGCAATGCCGCCGCTCCGATGCTGGTCCAAGGATGAGGTGTGGCCGGGCGG